TACTAGGGGCTCCTGGCCTTACTACTAGGAACAAGAAGCTACTAGGGGCTCCTGGCCTTACTACTAGGAGCACGGGTCCCAGAGACACCTCACAAAGCGGGTGCTACGTTTGGCGGTTTTATTCATGGTTTTGTTTGATGATTTTTTGCAATCGATTGTGTTCTTGTTTGGTGGAACCAAGATAATATCGTTTTGCTGGTGGCATTGATGCGTCACCAGAAACGATGGGAATGTCCTCCCGCATTTCTTCATCGTGTCGTATAACACCGTCGAACTCGTCGCCTTGCCAGGGTTTCATCGCCTCCCTTGAGGAACACGTGAAGATCCCAAGGAAAGGGGATCCTGCCGGTGGAATGGGAAGTCCTTTCAAGAGGGTTGAGAAAAGTGAAGACCCATTCTTTCAAGTTGAAAAATCTATGGAACCTTTGCCAGTGAAAAGAAGAGAAACCCTCATGGGCTCATCAGGCGTACAGTAACTGGGCCTTTGGGTGGACAGATCTGAAAAAAAGACCTCCTGAATTCGCAGGGAAAGTGAGATATTGAAATGTCCGACATTTCTTTGAAATGATCAGGATGTACAAGTTCAGAATGCTATTTCAAGATCAAGTCGTCCTTTCTGTCTTCCACTCGTTGGGATACACAATCCGACAAGCATTCTAAGCCTCATGGCTGACTCGCAAAACGGTACTCGTACGTTTCTCGCTGACAGCAGCAGTATTTGTGATTCTTACGTGTGTGATTTGAATGCGAAAATTCCTGAGTCCCTTCCATGGAGCCCTGAGGTCGCACCTGTCACTCACCTAGCGGCCGCAGCCTCAGATGTCTCAACCGATCCTTTGACATCTAAAGCTTCAAAACCAGGACAGCCAGGAAAACGTCCGATACTCTACTTCTACTGTTGCTCTAATTTACTCTGCATGTAATATGCATAATATATATATAATTCAACCAAGAATGCGGAGTTCCATTTGTGTGTTGATCTATTTTTCCAAGCTGTCCGGCCGAGGTCAATTCCACCTATTTGTTCTCCTGCGACTCCTCTGGAGAGCTGGGAGCCTCGGCTTGGCGACAGCCAAGCATGGACATGAAAGCATTGCAATCGAATGCAGTTGGTAGAGAACTCGTGAAAGAAAATGGAGCGCGTGAAAAGCCTCAGTTGGTATTAAATTCCTTCATATGTGTTCCATGAATCATGAATTCGATGTCCAACAGTTCTTGCACCTGGATGATGCCCTTTGCTTCAACCAGATGCTATTAGCAAGTGCTTCTCAACAGCATGATCCTGTGGACCGGGCTGGGCTGGGCATCCACCAAAACTGACCACGCCCGCAACTCCATCTTCCAGGTGCAGGGGTTGGCAGAAGAACAGGTGGCGCTGTTTTCGGTGTGAGACGAGTCCACAAGAGTTGGTCAAGCTAAATCGGAGCCCTTTTTCTGAGAGCCCTGTGCCATCATGGCTGGCGCACACCAGTTCAAAGAGTTTCTTGAATATGAACATGAGCGATGCATAAATATGATGAAGCCTATGCCTATAGGATCCTATAGTGGTTTGTGCATAGTATGATGCCTATCGAAAGTGCTTGACAGCGTCACGAATCACTAGGATCACTATCTGACTATCTCACGAATCACTAGGGATCACTCAAAAGAAGCAGACTCAAGAAGCAGACTCGGTTTGCTGCGGATCATTCTGAAACTTCTCTCACCTCTCACCTTCAAGCGCTTCTTTCGTTCCCTTCCATGGCTTCACAGAAGGGTCTCAGGGTGTTGCACCCTCGCCTGTGACAGGTCTATGGCTTTGCGGGCCACTGCACGCTTACATAAGCCACTGGGACATGTTGAGTCGGACCTGGGATTGGCAAGTCCTTTCAGGCAATTGTAAGTGTTTGGAGGTGTTACTTCCTTTTGCTTCCACACTTCTTCGGAGGGCCATCTTCCACCGCGCCGGATCAAATCCTTCGAACCCCGGCGGTTTGACATCAGACGGAATTGAAGACCAATCCCATTGAGACCTTGGGTGCGTTGGGTTGAAAAGCTGGTGTGCCAGGGCTCCAAGTTGAACTGCTACGTAGGAGATTCATAAATTCTTGCAACCATGGTACGTACTGTATCTACAACTTGCTGATTCGCAAATTGTCAGCTTCAGAATCCAGAAACCAAATAAAGACCACTATTTGAGTAAATGTCCAACCCTTTAAAGAATATTCCCAAGACTCCGAACCCTTTGGAGATTCCTGTGAATGTCCAAGTCCAAAACTTCCAGAACTGATAATCATCGATTTTGCATTTTCAAGGGGTGCTGTGGTGGATTTCGCCGTGGACCGGCACTTCGTCTACTCCTTGGGCGAGGCAGGATGAACACGGGAGGATTTCACCAAAACAGGTTCGCATTAAAAAAAGGCAACAATAGGAGAATCTCGAACCAACACCATGTCCAAGCAAAACGTGTCGCGTTCGCCGAGCCGCCCGCGATCGGTGCAGGAGATGAACCTTCGAATCTGGTCGACCGAGCTCAAAGAGGTCGTCGTGATGCCCATTGGCCACGTCGAGGCTTGTCCCACCTCCTAGCTGAGGCCTCCAACCTAAGAGCGATGGCCTCCAACGTAATAGCATAAAAGGAACCGACTAGCGATGGTCTCCAACCCCTTCTTACTAGCCATGGCCCTCCCACACCCAGCTGAGGTGTGTACCTAGATGTTCCTAGCGGGCCGAGAGGACGTAGGTGGGACATATATAGTACTATATGGTCATAATGTAGGATCTTGACTTGGAAATATCGCTGTCTTGTGGCAAAAAAGGGGGAGCCTGTATTGAACATGAATTAGATAATTACAATTGGTTATAGTCTCAGACCTGAAGGGATCACATGCCAGGCCTCCTGCCTCATGGGTGATATGGCCGCGCCGGTCCTGAGCCCACCCAAGGTCGCCACCGGCGCCCGCTTCGGAGCATGGCATGTTGAAATCTATGCCACATGTGCAAGCGCAAGCACTGAACTTCTGTGCAAGATTGGGTATCGGTATCATTCGAGTGTCGGAGCATAGTCTTGCACCTGCCACCTCCGGGTTTGTCAGTGAATATGTGCAGGGCACCGATGAGAAGGAGGCTGCCTCGCCTGGGCCAAAGTAATTGAATGATACGCAAGCAAACAACTGTCGGACGGGGATTGAGAAGGCCAGAAGTCTACAAGTCCAGCCTCCTTTTGGGATCTCATTCACTAGCTGCTTAGCCTTGTCTTTTGGATTGACATGTTCATGAAGACTTCCGGAAGAGGAACACGGGACGCTCTGTGTCGTCACAGACGAACCGGTCATCGCCAACCTTCTGGGATTGAACTGAAGCTTTCGTGGCTCGAAGAGTGAAGATGCTGTCGGTTCGATAGGTGTGTAAAGTGGAGATGGTCAGTTCTGCAGCTGTGGGGTGCTTGACAGGTAACACAAGGTAACACGAGACTCGGATGGTCATTCCAGCTCGTCGTGTGAGGTCATTCCAGCTCTCAAGGCTCTCAGCTCTGAAGCGGCCGGTGTCCAGATGGTCCGGCGGACAGGCGAACGGCTCTGCGCAGACACCGAATCGAACCGCTCACGCAGCTGCGAACATCTGCGAACGGCTCTGTGAGGTTTCCAAAACCCAAGGCAGTTTGCCGCTGGGTTCAAGTCGTTGGCATCTGCAACACATTGAAAAAAATGTTTAAAAGACGTGTAGGATCGTTTATGTGTTACTTTGTCCGCTGAGTGTTCAAGTCTAGGTTCCTCAAAGTGTGCGGGATTAGTCCCACCTTTTTTCGAGGTGCAGAAGAATGACACTGTAAGCCGTAAGCCTGTAGGCACCAGCAGTACATAGACTTCCTGTTTAGCTTCAGAAGATTATTGTAGATTTGAGTGTTGTTTTCGGCAACTTTCATCAAGTAGTGGAAAGAAAAGAATGGCCACATCAAAGCACGTGCTTTGGCGTCAAACCCGTTTTCATCCTCTCATGATGGATTCGCTTTGCATCTTGGTGGTTTCGCGGCGTTTCAGGCAGCTTCAGGCCGTGGCAGCACCAATACGCCGCGCGGTTTGCTTTTTGCTTCCTGGCTGACGATGTGGATCGTTGGGATGATGCTCTGACAACTGAAAGTCCTGCGTTCACATTTGGGATGTCGATGTCTTTTTGAGGCTATTGCTGTAGGCTATGTGCGCATTGCTTTACAGAGGGCAAAATAGATCATCCTTTTCGGGGACCATCAAGTGCTAAATTGCAGAAATCCCAACTACGTCACTAGTGAAAGCTCTACAGTCTACGGGTCTAGACATCCTGATCATCCTTGTTTGTTGTTGGTAACAATGATGTTGTTGGTTTGTCGAACATGCCAATGAACAGTTCATAGAACATGCCAATCCCATTGTTGGCATTTGATCTTAACGGATCTTGTTGGTTGTTAGCATCCTCATCAAATATGCCAATGAACATCCTCCAGAACTGGATCTGTCAACACCTCACGTCGACCTCCGCCGGTGCAGACGTCGGTTCGGACGCGGGGCCCAGGTGGCGGGCGTCATGGCAAAGGGCCAATCTGCAGTGACGGTCCCAATCTGGCATCCGTTTGTCACAACTGCATGGAACAAGCATCAGGGCTTAGTTAGAACAACCATTGCTATCAGGTTGGAGGCCATCGCTATTAGGTTGGAGGCCATTGCTATTAGGTGTTGTTTTTCTTGTTTGACTTGCAAGTTCGACCTTTCATCATGAATCTCACTCCAGCTCACCGTATAAAACCGTACAGCTCGCTTGGTGACCATCACGCCGAATGGACTTCTTCACCGACACCCGAAATGCCTTCAGACTGAAGTTCCGAGTTTGCTCACGATCACGGTGGTGTGACTGAGCTCTCGGTAGGACTTCTCATCGTTACTGCAGACAGCATTTCGTCTCGACAGTGGTGAAGACATCCCCAACTTTCGGGAACCACCAGAGTCACTGCTCAAAGGAAAGAACCCAAGGAACCCAAGAACCACCAGAACCCAAGACAACCCAAGAACCCAAGCAATTCTTGGAGAACCCAAGGAACTGCACTAAGAACGTCAAGAATGGCTTCTTCAAGGGTCCCATGTAAACACTAGTCGTCCGACTTCCAAGGCGGGTGAGAACGCTGCAGTGCTGATGGACTGCCTCAGCCCGGGAAGAAAGTGCTGAAGTTCATTGCACATTGAGAAGATTAGATGATGGAAACTGGAAACTGATCTTAAGAATCTTAAGTGAGCGTCGTTGTAGACTTGTAGTGTTGTCCTGCCCTACTTTTCGTTCGGCAAAAAAGGATAGAGATTGAGTCCCAATCTTTGCTGCACTTCATCCAGAACTTGTTGGTTGTGCTCATTCTTCATTGTTGATGTCAAGTGTTCAAGCAAAGCAGGGTGGGGATGGAAGTGAGGGTGCCAGCAGGAATGGACCATAGCAGCGGCACCAGTTTGTCAGACACATTGCTGCAATGGATGGAGTGGGTAGGTCTTGGAGTGGGCAGTCAAACGGCAAACCGCCCACTCGATCAATGATATCAATGGTTCAATCCTGTGCGTTCCGCCTGCGGTCTCCGGTCTTCGGTTTTTCGTTGAAGGATGTCAGCTGTCATGCAAACTATCAAGGTGTTTTGTTGAGTGCAGTTTCCCTAAGAACGAGACATGATTACAGTGGTATTTTAGATGATCAGACTATGTTAGACTCACGTTGTTCTTCCTGGGGAAACTGAAGGAGGTCTCCCCGCCTTTGTTGCTCAGGGGCGCAGTCATAGCGCACGCACGGGGCTCAGGTCGCACGAGAGGTCCAATATTTCTACCATCATCTTCCATCAACAAGAGAAAGCGCAAAAGATTATTGATGCTTGTCTCACCAAGTCGCCCTCTCATCAGCTTCCTACATCTTCCTACCTACACCATCGGCCAAGATGGTTTGGTCGCTGACTAGTACATTGCAATACATTGCATCATCAGACGAGACGAGCGATTCTCGGCCGTTCAGGACGTGCCCATTGTGCCGAGCCCTCAGCCTGTCAAGCAGCAGACCTCCGTCGGCGCCGTGACCTCCGTCGCCTGTGACAAAACGGCCACCATCGAGGACCATCGCCTATGGCCCCTTTGACAACGGCCCCTTGATCACATGCGATGGACGTGGCCTTTGTCGCGTTTGGGATTGCTCACCCAGGCGGGGCCGCGCTCGGGCGAAGCGCCCGGCTGAGCGGTCGCTCTGTCGTCTAAGATCTTGGCCCAAAACGAGAAGAGATTGAAAAGGCGTGTGTTTTGAAACAGAAAAGAAAGGATTTGGGCTGTGAAATGGCATCAGTTGTTTCAACTCCTGATCAACTCCAACGTATCTGAAACTCCAAACGTTTGACATTCTCTGTGTTTTCAAAGGCTGTGGTGCTCACAACAGATCGAAGCCTCACCAGGTGGGACTGGATGTTTCGTCTCACGGAGGGTGCTGCAGTATTTGGAGACTTGTTCCGCTTTCTTCTCGGGTGTATTGAAGATGATAGTCCTCATAGCTGTTCAATTAATTAGACACGCAAGACATAGCAAGTTAGGTGGCTCAGCTTGAGCTGATGCATCAGGACATGTAGTATATACAGTAAATCCCCTGCCTAAACCTTATAGAATCTGGGAGGTCGAGCTCAGAATGACCCTGGGATTATATATAGACACTTTTTCTCTAGAATGAGATATCCACCTACCTGAAAAAAAGCTAGCCTCAAAAAATGTGCCTCCACAAGTGGACTGTTCATGATGCCCAATAGGTGAGCTATTCCGTTTTATAGAGAAGGCATGAAAACGCACCAGATTTTATACGGGTTGTAGTTTTGATTTTATAGAACGCATTTGGAGTAGTAGAAGGCTAAGAATTGATTTCAGAGTGGTAGATTGATATCTCATTTTATAGAAAGCGCTGGCATTTGTGGTGAGAGTTCTTCTGGGGCCACAGCCTGGGATCACTATAAATGAAAAATGCACCTCTTTGGGGGCCATGTTTGGCTAGCCCAAAGAACAACCAAGTCCTTTTTGTATTTCTGCCACTTGAGAAGCCCTTCCTTGGAATCTTTGGAGCCTGCGATTCTAAGATGATCGAGCAACTGGACCACTACTACCCAGTGACAGTTCTTGAACATATAAACAAAATAAAACAAAATTTTGGTCGAGAGGGTTCATGGTTGGGAACGATGGGCTTTGGGTAGGGGCAATAAAGATCAATAAAGTAGAAATCCTGTCCACATGAGGGCCCGGAAAGAAGACCCACTTGAAGCAAAAAGTAAAGCGTATGTCTCTTCCCCCCGGATCTCAATCAAGGGCATCGCTACTAGTAGAAAGAAGCTACTAGTAGCAAGAAGCTACTGACATGCCGTGATCTCAATCCCTGTGTTCGCACTTTTGCGCACGACCACAGCCTCAGGTGCTCCGCGATCGCTCGCCAAAGTCAGCGTGGCGTCGGCTGTGCACCCAGTGTGGATTCGATTCAACTCCTGGAGAAGAGGGACGTCAAAAACCACTCGTGGTCATTCCTCTTATTTCTCATCCTGGTGGTGGAAGTTTGACATAGTTTGACTCACAGGAGAGAAGCTCAGGACCCTTTGAACGTTAAAGATGTTCAAGCTCAGGACCCTTTGAACTGCTCCCTTTACTCCGTGGCAGGCGAGAAGAGGCAAGCCTGCTTGCAGCAATGCATCAGAAGAATTTGGAGCCACCCTTGTAGATCAGAAGTTCGTCCGAGTTCGTCGGATGAAAACCTCCAAAAAAAGACACCCTGGCATCACTTGGCATCCAAAGTATCCAAAGACAGTCTCATGATGTGCGAGAAGATACTAGGAACAAAGGGCATCGCTACTAGGAGCAAGGATGCTACTAGGGGCTCCTGGCCTTACTACGAGTAGCAAGAAGCTACTAGGAACAAGTGCATCGCTACTAGTAACAAGTGCCTTACTACGAGTAGCAAGAAGCTACTAGGAACAAGTGCATCGCTACTAGTAACAAGTGCCTTACTACGAGTAACAAGAAGCTACTAGGGGCTCCTGGCATCGCTACGAACGGAGTGCCAATCGGCCGATCTCGGCGCCCCAAGAGATGGACGGGGTGGGCCCACGTCACAGGCTTCTGGTGTGGTGCCAGAGGCGTGCGGAACACATTCCTTCGGTCAAATCGAGGCTGATGCATTGGACTTGACTATCTACGGTTCCTTTCCAGATTCCTAGATTCCTAGATAAGAATGGTCAAGCATCGTCTCGTTCATGGAGTGCCAAAGGCTGTGTTTTCGGTTGGGGTGTGGTCTAGGTGGCGTTGATGAAGCTCCTGCAATGCGATTCTCAATGCTTGTGCTGCTAATTGATCCTAATTATTCCTACTTACTTATGGTTTAAAGCTTTTATCAGAGCTCATAGGTTGTCACCTTGAAGTGTTAGGAAGTCTCCAACTCTTATTAGGCATGAAGCTTCGTGAATCAGGGAATTTGGTCATTTTTTGCGCCTAAATCCATGGTGAAGCCAAGATACATCTTTATTCGTCACTTGGTTTGTCCAGGAGGCTACTTGTAGGTGATTATAAGATAGCTTCAGAGGGTGCTGTCCCCGCCCTTCCATCCGTGCAGGGGCGCTGGTGAATAGACTTGACCTGGCGTCATCGATTAGAAAAGCCGGTCTTGCCACCAGCCCATCAGTCATTTGGAGCTAGTTGCCAGTATTACTGATGGTTTGGTATGGTTTGGTACCTTCTGATGTGAGCCTAGCAAGTTTCCTGTTCATGCGGAGAGAGAGGGTCGGCAGCTCGGAGAGGCATGACTGTGGGTCCGTCCGTGCTGTATGCACCCAACCCTACTCGCTTCTGATAGCAGGCATACCCAACCATACCCAACATACAACTGGATGTTGTTTTTATTGAAATTACTTGATATCACTAGCTTCTTGTTACTACTAGCGTCCTTGCTACTAGTAGCGATGCCCTTTGTTACTAGTAGCTTCTTGTTACTAGTAGTAAGGCCAGGAGATACGTTCGTAGCGTCACCAGCCGTTTCGGCTCCAAAAGCGGGTTGTTGGAGCATCGGCTCCTTTCCGTTTGGCCGCCATGGCGTGGGACATGGGCCCTGAGACCCAGTGACGATGCGACTAGTGGCTGGAGGACGTGAAACTGTGCTTTTCCTTTGCTCCTACTAGCGTCCTTGTTACTACTAGTAAGGCACTTGTTACTAGAAGCGATGCACTTGTTCCTAGTAGCGTCCTTGTTCCTAGAAGTAAGGCCAGGACCCCTAGTAGCGTCTTTGCTCCTAGTAGCGATGCCAGGAGCCACTAGTAGCTTCTTGTTCCTACAGATGTCACAGATGGGGTTGATCGTTTGATGATGTGGTGGTGGCTCGTCTTGCAGCGGCTGGTCTTCCCAGGCTTCAACATTCAGTGGACACAGCGCATTGAAAAGGAGGCAGGGTCAAAATCAACATGGCTAGAATGTGAAGTTGAGCACGATGCTCTCTTTGTGGAAAGAAAGCAAGCCAATGCTGATCGATCTTGATTTATTGCCAGTTCAAGCAGTATCACCCATGATATCTTAGTCACATTGAAGCCAAAGTGTGCAGTCTCGATGCAGCAATGACAGGAGCGTGCCTTCATCAATGGGGCGAGGATCAGAGCTGAGCTCTCAGAGTGAGTTTTTGGGCCGGTCAGGAGAAGGTTGAGCCAGTCAGGGGAAGGTTCCCAAACTGAAGACAAAGGTTGCGAAGGATTGACCTTTTCGACCCTTTGAGGAAGAGATTGAGCGCAAGGAAGAGAAGGCTGGTCAAACTGCTCGTTAAACTTCTTTCCTTCAACCCGGATCATAGCTTGATTCCATCTCTTTGGTGATTTCATTATAGGCCATGTTTCAGGACTAGTTTGAGCACCTTGCAACTTGAAATGTAACGACATATTGTTTTCATGTCAATTCGAGCCGCGGATGTCAGCCAGGTATTAAGGGTTACATCCCCAGAGTGGATAAGGGGTGATTATGGCTATCGATGGCGATGAATATACAATAAGTTACACAAAACCTTGTGTTGACGTCTGTCTCCTTCAACCCATTTGGGATCGTTTACCATCGTTTACGTACGTATAATTGCGTAATTGTATGTAATGTGTTGCAAAACATTCAGGTAATGTTCAAGTTCTTGCGCCTATCATTCACCATCATTCACCTATTGTTCACTCAAAAGGTTCCTTGGTGGGTGTCACCTACCTTTCAGCTTCCTTTACATGGCGTTGGCCACTTTGAACAAATGCAGGAGGCTCGCAAGCAGCGGCGTTCCCGAAGGACCGGGGGTTGGATGGAGTGCAGGAGAGATGCGCTCAAGTTCATTCAAATGTGGGCGATTTAGTAAGGAATGAGGGAATGGATCCTGAGGAATCCACAGCGGGGGGGTCGTTCCCTCATGCTCAGTTGTGCGGATATTTGGAAGATCTGTGGACAGGCTACTGGAATTGGCACATGTTTGGTCAGCTTGGAACCCAAAGCCTGGGAACAAGGAGTGACCTTGAACACCCATTAACACCAATATCAAGAGGGTTGGACTTGGACTTGTCAGTGACTTCGTGGGCAAGTCCCGTGATTGTCAGGGGAGCCTCCAGCAGATCTTCCCAGTGCTCAAGTGCACTGTCTCTCGCAGGCGCTGGAATGGGTTGTTTCGCCTCAAAGTCGAGCCATCTCAGATTGAACAAACAACAGTACTTTGAGTAAGATTGCAAAGAATATCTAACTTAGGTCCGGATTCTCTTTACCTGGCTGGAATGAGACGCTGATGCCTGATGATGTGCAATCTACGCGGCTTAAGCTCCATCTTATTATCCAACTATTGTTCAGAGCAGAAGTATGTGCCCGGTTTTGCTGAAATTGTCAGGATGCTGGGCAACCCTTTTCATGATTTCCGTTGCAACGGCTTTGAACCTCCAGCAGTGCAGTAGC